AATAAGTGATAAAATGCTTTCCAATCACAACACCATAATACACTCAACACTTATCACTATTTCCACTGTTTTTGGCCAAAATGTCAATTCAAGACTAATACGAAATGCAAATTAACAGATCATCAATTAATACATTCAGAAATTAAACAATTCAAATGTAATTTTAGTGATTGTAATAAAGTTTTCAAAATTAAGAGAATTTTGATTCAACACAAAAATAGTTTTCATTTAAATCAAAGGTTTATTTGCGATTGGAGTGAATGTCATAAAAAGTTTTCACATAAAGCCTCTTTACTTATACACAAAAGTGTCGTTCATTTGAATGAAAAGTTGTTTAAATGTGATGAAGAAAATTGTGGCAAATGTTTTGAAACACAATCGGGACTTATTTATCACAAAGGCATACATTCGGCCGAAAAGCCATTTGTTTGTCATTTCAATGATTGTCACAAAATATTTACACGAAAACAACAGTTAGATTCACATTTTAATAATCAACATTTGAATAGAAAATATTATTGTAAATTTCGGAAATGTAATGAATATTATTCAGACAATAATTCATTAAAACAGCATATAATCGGTGTTCATATGAAGGGAAAGCCTGTCTACCAGTGCTCGCAACCTAACTGTGGACAGGTATTTCGTGATAAACATCATTTGGATCGACACAACCTATCCGTACATTTAAAACAAAAAACATTCAAATGTGATGACAGTATTGTGAGAAATGTTTTGCCACTAAAGCAAATCTCAATAGACATCGAAAAGCAATTCATAAAAAAGTGAACTAAAGTAACTTTAGATAAATAAAAATTATTGTTAATAAAACATTAATGAATTTAATTTCAATGATTTCCACAAAAGTTATAACAGAAAACAATATTTAATTTTTCATATATAGACATTAATCATTTGTATAAAAAAATTAAGTGTATTAATAGAAAATGTAATGAATATTATTCAAACAATAATTCATTAAAACAGCATATAATCGGCGTTCATATGAAGGGAAAGTCTGTCTACCAGTGCTCGCAACCAAACTGTGGACAAGTGTTTAATTTTAAGTGCAATTTGAATCGACACAACAAATCCGTTCATTTAAAGCAAAAGCCATTCAAATGTAATTAAAAAATTTGCGACAAAAGATGAACCGATAAATCAGATCTCAATAAACACCAGAAATCAATGCATACGAAGTGAATACAAGAATTATATTAATTTTGAATATTTTTGTAATGAAAATGATTATAATAATTGCTTTCAAATAATTGTGTACTTATTAATATTTGTTGAGCAAACAGTTATATTTAGAAAATTTATCCATATTTAGACAAATAATTTGTACAATTAATTGTATGCTCATTAGTAAAGTGAATCATAATTTTATTTATAATTATTAACTATATTACAATTAAAATATACAATAGACATATAAACACTTCATTAGCCTAATTATTATACTAATATACCTTAGTTTAGATGTTTTAATAATTAATAACAATTATACTCCAAATGAATTGGCAATAAAACTATAATAGTATTATATATAAAATTTATAATTGTGACACTTTGTATATTATATATTAATCTTGCATAATGAAATTTTAAATAAAATTTCTACATTTAATCTGATACATTAAAATCACATTGTTACTATTCATACTTGCTTACCTAATAACTATTATGTTTTATTAATATTGAATATTATATTTTGAGATAATGTTTATTATAATATGTTGGATATACTTTTCAAGTTAAATAATTAGCCCTGAGCATAAAGTAATTATACCACTAAGTCCCCGCCATCGACCGCCACGATAGCACCGGTAATAAAGTTGGCCTGTGAGCTGGCTAAGTATCCTACTGTATTGGCGATATCACCTGGATCACCGATACGACCCAACGGGTATTTTTGGGCAAAACTATCCAAAAACTGGTCGTACTCTTCATCCGTAAATCCATTGGCTTTCGAGATGTTTGTGCGGACGACACCCGGACTATGAGACGGGTCATTGCAAATGGATAATTAATTTCAGTAAATATTTTGTTTCATAAATAAATTGGTGCATGCTAATTATTGTTACGATACCCAATGGCGTTGACTCGTATGCCTTTGGGTCCCAACTCAGTGGCCATACATTTGGTGAACATATTTATCGCCGCTTTCGACATACAATACGCAGAGTTGTGTGCGCACTGGTAGGGAAAGTTAGACTCATTATATTTTTGTTGTTAAAGTGTCGGTTTACAAT